ATTACATTAAGTTACATTGTATATAGTAATAGCAATGTGAAAGAAATAAGTTGTTAGTAGTAGATGGCTCGATAATTTTTTTCTTACTTGAAATCTTTCTCAACGTGGTGCTAAAACACCACACACTTTTGCGCATTATTTGTAAGTTTTATACCTTTCAAACATTTAGAGCGTTCATTGAAAATGAGACTTGTACAATTTTTATAAGCATACTTTGTTCTATTCAAGAAAAAACATTGAGCCGTTATTGAGAAAAAACAGTTTTAAAATTCCAGTACTTGACGCAAAATTACACATATTTTGCATCAGTACTTAAAAAATTCTTCATGACTGAACTTAAAGATCTGTCTTGGAGAACCAGATGTTATGAAGAGAAATCTGCATCTTCAATAGAGTGGCTGACGATTCCACGATGAAATTAAAACCATGTATTATAAATACTTTTCAGGTTATACCTAATGAGAGGGTAAATAAACTTAAGCCGCTAGCCATATGGCAGAAATAAGAAATTATAAAATTGAAAACGTAATCTTAACACTATTGTGGTTAATGTTCATATATTCTTGTTTTATTATACCAAGCAAAAATTCTATCAAAAATTTCATATTCGTGCACAACAATTTTTTTGCAATTTCCGTGTAAAAATATAATTTACTCATTAGCTACCAAATAACTGCTGTTATTCAAAATATATTGTTTATCAATTTAAAACTATTTTCATTCAAGCGTCACAATTTACCTTGCAGTGGCGTATAATAGAAGCTAGCAGAACTGCTGTAAACAGAGCAACTACAGAGTCCGCCACCAATCTCGTCCTCTCATGAAATATTCACAGAATGATCCGGACACTCGGGGTAGGGGATGTGGTTTAGGAGAATGTAATTGCATTCCCGTTTCCGTCTTACGCTTCTACTCCGCTATGAGCATACGGTATCTCATCCCTGATCCCGAGATCACGTTGTTATTCCCGGAGCCGCTTTACCCTGAACACGGAAAGCAGTTGACTGGGAGGGAAGCACATATATCCTGAGTTCATTGAGATACACCAAATTTTGGTATATCTCAATGGAACATTGGTACCCGGAAATAATATCAGAGTCATATAATGCATTTACAAAGGGTAGTAACAATGGGTAATAGTATTGGACATGAAGGAAAGAAAGCGTAAATATTGTAATAAGAGTTAAGGGATCATGAGTGTTCGAATCTGAAATTGATTGTAAATATTTCACATTGAATATCCATAGCATAAAGTAAACATAGTCATGCTTCGGAATGTGAGCGATTTGAAAAAATAATTTTGTATTTAGGTAGCGTTTTATGAAGGAATGAGTAAAGAATGGACAACCAATAGTGACACGTTTTAGTGCTGGTGTAGGCGTCAGAACAAACTAAGAGACCGCCAGTAGACGGATTAATGCCAATGGCAAAATTAGTTATAGAAAGTTATGAGTGAAAACAGAGGTGACATTTCTCATCACGACCTTCATTTTGGGAGAAGAAATTCGGGTTCGGTAGCGAGCACTTCCAGAGGCTATTTAGATTCAGTACGGGACAATCGTGTGGCATTTTCAATAAGGGAGAATTATAGGTTCAGTTAATCCACATTGCAACAACGTTCAGTCAACGCAATTGTGAAGGCAAGTCGAAAGAGAAATGACCATCCGACGTATTCTGGAAATGATTTAGAGTAAATACTTTGTGATAATAATAATGATAATAATAATAATAATAATAATAATAATAATAAAAATATTATTATTATTATTATTATATTAGGTTTAGTATCATCAACTTTATTTATTTAATAAATTTGTTACTATTTTGGAAAATCGATATTCGGATTATAAGACAGTTTACAATATTAATATTAAGACACATGAACAGAATATTCCCGACGGAATTCAAAGCTCTTCGTGGGAAAACTTCACTTCAATGTCGTCGCAGCTTCAACATCTTCACAAATTGTAAGCGTCGCTGAAACGTCCGCGAAATACATTTAACAAGTCTTTGCAAACAGAAGATCAAATACACTTTTAAAGGCCTTGGTAGATCAAAGAGTTAATATTTCAATTTAATGGCATGCCAATAGAAGTTATTTCACAAGTAAATTTTGTAAAGAAAATATCAAAGTTGAAATTAATAAACAATGTAAATATTTTATTGAAAAAATGCCTATTCATTTAATAGTTAGACTCCGCAGACCAACCATCTTATTTTTCACAGAATATGTTTTCATAGAATTCTCAGTTCGTACGAGATGGGACATCGCCCCATGTAAGTATTACTCAACTGTATATGAACGTTGGAGTCGTTTAATCAAAAAACTTATAATAAAAAATAGAATTGTTTAAAGTTTGAAATATTTTCGAACATAAGTAAGAAACGTTTTCAAAAGGGCTTGATCAGCTTATATTAATTGTCGATAACAAAAGAGGCGTGTATTAGAACGTTTCGTGACCAGAACGGGAGAAATGGGATAGTACAGATCCATGATATATTTGGACTGAGTTAAAATCATGAAACCACTTAAGGAAATCCGTTCGTAATTTAATTTTTGAAGGAGAATAACGGCGACTTCTTCTTAGAGCAGCTTACTGCTGGTGAGGAATGCCTCTCTCCGATGGAAGGCGACCTGCGACCTTTCGGTTTCTCCTAAGTCGCGCCTGCGAAGCGTTCGCACAGCCAAGGAATGCCGTTTACTTTCCGCAGCAGAAGCAAAGGGAGCACTATTCTTCCAAAATAAGAAAATAAAAGTTTGAAAACTTCTTGCTTTTTTGGAGAGTTTATATTTTGACGCAACATTGTTAATGCCGAATGCAGCTTCCAATAGGAGAGAGAATGAGTGGCTAATCAAAATGGCATCGATTTCTTTCCTTGACATTTAAAACAGAAGACAACCGGGGAGCGAGTAGCATTGGAAAACAACGAGATAAAATACTGCTGCATAGAGCGACTGAAGCACCCCCATCTCAGAGGCAATTTGAATGCCGAGCCACCATTTTTTTACAATCAATTCAACATGGGCGCCGGACGCCTGTAATAGTAATCTGCTTTCTACGAGTTCTCACGACAAAAAACAAATCATTTAAAAACACAAACAAATGAGGAAAGGAGAGTGGATTGAGAAACATTGATTTCATTTGATTTATTCTCGTAAAAAAAAGGAAAAACTGTATTTGACGTATGGGAGAAGTTAAATCTGTGCATTTTCTTGAACTTCATAATTCCTACACCGTTTTAACCATAGTAAATAGTTAAAAGGTAAATAAAAGTAAAAAGCGATGTAGCACAATTGAAAACTCTATATCGTTCCAGAGAAAAGGAAAACTTATCTTAACCTGTAAGCTACAAGTTTGATTTGATAGTTTTGGTAAAAAAGATCCCAACCAACGTTCCCGACCCTTCTAACAACACGCAAAAGGAGAGCTCAATAAAACGTCCGCATGGTGAAGATACATTAGGGCCAGACGGTCAACTAGGTACTGTCTCAGTAGCTTTCAAAACACATTGTTTCTTGAACTGCTTAATGTAATAAGGATCGAATGTACTGAAATTATATTTAAAATATCAAAATTGATGTAGGAAAAATGTCATTTAAATAAATAACATCCCCCTACGTTAATTCCTGAATCTGGAATGTATAAATCAAATCCAAAAGTAGAAAACAATTCGATGATTCTCTTGCTGGAAAATGCGTTTGTTTGGGCTACTCCCGATTTCTATTTATTTATTGAATGTCAAAAACCCGTTAAAAGTGTACGGAATATCACTGAGAGATGCGCAATCTGCACGTTTATTCGAGCTCTGAGATAAGATATATATTGAAATGAATTATGACTATAATTAACAGCAAGCGTTCTCGGCAAGAATTGTTAGGAATGTATTTGCTTCTTGTAACAAAAACTATTTGCAAAGGCATATCATCGATATATTTTAGCTGCTATCCATTATGGTGCCCTTTGTCAAGTAGTAGACGTACGCCTACTGTCGCGAGAACACAAGAACGATTATTTGAATAATTATATTCCACTCTTGGGTTAAGAAAATGTCCCCAGAAGAAGTCACATATATATCCAGAAGCAAAAAAGATAATGTACAAGTAACCCTTGGTACAAACAATATGTTCAGTATAACAGTTTATTATGCCCCCACACACATGTAGTGACTGCAGAAAAGTACTTAGAGTGCCAAGAAATACCGCTGAGCCACCGGTTCAGCTACTGTATTTCGTTTATTGGAGAACGAAACAGTTAGTCTGAATCTGATTTACCGGATTCATGGTTATCTCTCTGCTCTCAGCCCCCACTTGCGCTTTCACGTTAATGATACTATGGCTATCCAATTTTATTTGGTTATGAGCATAACCGTCCTGAGTCTCGTCCTGAGTCAGCATTGATTTACTGTTTAGATCCTTACAACTCTTTAGAACTAGAATGTAGTGAAAATGAAGTGAAAATGAAAATATTTTTTATTCATGATAATTAATTTTTTTTCTTAGACGTATAAAACACGTGCATGGCTACCACTCACACTACAAATTTTGTACAAAATATCATTTTTACCATGATAAAAGCCTTCATTTTCTATTCTTAATTACCATAAAATTTTGATATAATGTTCTAAATTATGTGAGTAGCTTGAAGACCTATTCTAATTCGAATTTGCTACCTCGGGTTTCAAATATTGGTAAATTGGTTTTGCTACAAATAATGGTACTAAATTAGATTCTGATCTTAAACTATACATATCATTACAAATAATACGCATATTCTATTGTATGTCAAAGATCTAATAATCAGAAATATATTGCATTTTATAAGAAATATCTTGCTTCAATGTTAAAAGAGCAAAAATTATTACATCAGTAACACCCCAGAATTCATATTTATTCGTTGGCATGTATTTTGGAATACATGCTCTATGATTGAGTTCCTTTTTATCTTCTGATCTCTGAATACACGTGATGGCATTGCAGAGTCCAAGCTGTGTCTTAAGAGATGAGAGCTCGGCAGCGAGGGCGACACTATCAACGGCGGTGTTGTGTGGCAACTCTCACCGCCCGTATCGACTACTCAGGGCGCCGGGGTTCCATGACGCAACGTTCGTCGTCGCCGTCGCCGCCGCCGCCATCGGCGTCGCTTCCGTCACACTTCAGCGAAGGCGGCGGCGCGCGGTGACTGTCTGCAAGCTACCAACTATGTCAGCGAAGTTAGGCGAGCAAAACTTTCCACCGACCCAGAAATTCGGAAATGTGTCGTCGAGTCGAGCACTGACACGTAAAAGCGGACAAAAATTCGATAAGGTGTTTTGTTCTTTACCTTTTTTTCTTGGAGTTGTCGCCGATATAGTTCGAAATGGAAAAGTAAAAGAACGTACGATTTGTTCTTGGGGGTCAAAGCTATTGTTTCTCTTTTGAGCTTCCACTCTATTCCCTTGAAATCGGCGACTCAAGAGTAGCATTTGTGTCATATCTCGAAGACTGCTTTAAGTTAAGTTCACGTTACTGAGAATATGAAAAGGTGAATTTTCATCGGTACAGTAGTTCAATAAAACATCGACCAACATTTATCAAAATTGGCTATGTTCCTTGTCTAGCTGAGCAAGTTGTTGCCATTTTTAGGGTCTAATCTTCCCACAAATGGAGTAAATCCTAATTGCGGGTCACACACATCATGTTCCTCAAAATTTCACCCTTTCAGATAAAATTCAATGTTTCGTCAGACATTCCCGAAAGCTACATTATTTTTTCAATTTCTCCCTGCATTGGAAATTAGTAATATAGAAAATTACTGTGAAGATTGAAAGAACGTTAAAATTTTTATTCAATTAGTCGTGAAAAGAGACCCATCTTAACATTTCAATATATTAACAATAATAAACTAGAATCGTTTTGTTAAGAATTAATGTGAATTCTAATGGCGTTTTTCCTTATTTGTTTTTCCGTATTTGTTTAGTGACGGATTCGTTGGCTGTACTGGCAAGAATTATTGCCGTGACAGCCATAACATATCAATTTCTAGCGCAAATAAAATACCAATTAAATGTTTACATTAATTATCAGACCAAATTAATGTCAATATTTAAATTATAATGCAGTGAGAAATTTTCTTATTTCTACAACTAGCTTCTAACATTGTATCACTTTTTAGAACTTCAAAGGATTTATTTGTGTGTATTAAAACTTATTTCAAAAGTTTCAAAAGTAACTCGTATCGAACAATATATTTTTTCGATAATCTTACAACTAATCAACTTCCTACGCGCAACAAATTAAAACCTATGCGCGGGGCTTTCGAACCAGGATACAACTGTTATTTAGTTTATTTTAGCCCACACACAACCACGCCTGATGTCATCGTTTCAAAAAGCCCTAAAAAGTCCTCCCCAACACCCCGAGGCACTACTGCTAACGACACTGAGGGAAAATGCCAGCTGACAACAAGAATCCCAATTCATCGAAAGGTATCGAAGTCGTCCGTGTATTGATGCCATGCTGACTTGCTTCACAATAATGACAATTATTTTATTTCACTAGTCCTCTGTAACATTAATGCGATGGTGAATAAAAAAAAATACGGTCCCACACGTCCATGCCGCACCGACGTGTAGACGTGAAAAAATAATCCCAGCCACACAACGTGACACGTTACGCCTTGCGTGGTCATTCCAGGTCACTCAAAATTGAATGATTTCATCGTACAATATAAGTATTAAGAATTTTACATCAAATTAAAAATTAATAGTGCAATAAGCAGTATACGTTTATTTTGCCGAGTACCTAACCCTTAGGTTATTTTTTCTTTTTGTCGGTGCGAACAAATTTTGCGGCGAACGTTCTTCTTTGGTGATCCACGCAGCTTCCTTCCTTTTTCTTTGCCAATTATTATGCATCGAAGCTATAAAAAGCAACGTTAGAAGCCCTTTCCTTCCATAAAAGCAAATAGTTATTCCAAGAACCGAAAGAAACAGAAAATAACCTTCCATCTCTTTTATGGTTTCAGACTTCATTATCCTTATCCTGACAGTAATATTTACGTGTATTTTAGGGAATTCGTCTATATTAAGGAATGATGTGGTATACATTTTAGAAGCGTAGCGAGGGGAGCGAAGCGCGGTCATGGAAGCACGGAGAACGAAGTGTGGGGATGGAAGCGTGGGGAAAGAAGCGCGATAAGCGAAGCATGTGAAGCAAAGCATGGGGAGCAAAAGCATGGTGGAAGCAAAGCATGGGGAGCAAAGCGTGGGGGCAAAGCGTGGGAGTAAAGCGTGGGGAGTAAGTGAGGAGTGCGAAGCAAGGGGACCGAAGCGCGGAAATGGAAGTTGGGAGAGCAAAGCACGGGAGAGAAGCGCGGGGGTGTAAGCGCGGATGTAGCATGATGATGGAAGTGTGGAGAGGAAGCGTGTGAAAGAAGTGTGGGGAGCGAAGCGTGGGGACCGAAACACAGGGAGTAAGCTGTGGGGAAGCGAAACGCAGAGAGTGAAGCGTGGGGAACGAAGCACAGGGAGTGAAGCGTGGGCGCGAAGCATGGGTGAGGAAGCACAGAGAGCGAAGCACAGGGAGCGAAGCGCGAGGAGCGAAGGGTGACGAGCGAAGTGTGTGGAGCGCAGCGCGGCGAGCGAAACGCGGGAAGCGGAAAGCGGAGTGTGGCTGAAACGCGTGGAGTTAAGCGCAAAGCGAAAAGCGCGGGAAAAGAAGCGCCAGGAGTGAAGCAAGGGAGCGGTGCGTGGGGCGCGGGGTAGAACACGTAGAGCGAGGCGCGGGGGGTGGACGCCTGATGCTAGAGAAGCGCGCATGAGGAGTGCGTGGGACGTGCGGGTGCGTGCGCCCGACTTTGGATGAGCGCCGGATCAGTGGGCGTGGCTGGAGCCGGAGGTCCACGGCCTCGTGGGAGCCTGGACGCCCCTTTCCGTCGCCGCCGCCGCCGCCCCGTTGGGCGAGGAGCGCCGGGCGAGCGGTGGGCGCAGGTGCGCCCCGAGACCACGCGTGATCGATATCTCGAACTTCCCTCCGTCGCCGCCTCGCCCTTCGCTCAATCAGACGCTTCATCAAAAGTTTCCCGATGCAGGCCACCTACGCCTCCTAGACGGCGACTAGCCTTGCCGAAGTGACTCCAGAGTAGCTTCTGTGAGATTCGACATCCCGGCGCTCCCTCTACAGCTGGAAGAAGTCATAGAAATTTGCATTGTATAAACTGCAATAACTTTTGAATTGTGTAGGCAAAGGTTCATTGGTGTAGCCAGACGTTTTAAGGGAGTGTACATTTCTTGAGAGCTGTTGGGACACGAAATAAATGCGTTTTGAAATTAAGATTTACAAGACACTTGTTTTTCTCCATTTCTATCCAATTACTGTCAAGTTTCCCTGATCCATTGAGAAAATTCTGAGATGGCCCGTTGTTTTGCTTCTGGATATAAATGTAGCTTCGCTAAGCGCACGTTTTGTTGAACTCTCCTTTTGCTTGTAATGGTAGGAGTAGAAGGCGAGTTACTATTTTGTTAGCAATGCAGAAAGATCATACCTGCAACTCGTTTACCAATGCAAATAAGTTTTCTATAACTCGGGAACAAAAATGTATAGTTTTGTAAATTATTACAAATCTCGCGCTTCTTTAAAGTTAATTTCATTTATTTATTGTTGAAATTATGGGAAGGGATTTTGGAACTCAAGAAAACGTGCGAAAATCATCTTCTCCCTCATACGTCACATACAGTTTTTACTGTTCTTTTGACTGAATAAATGTAAATCTAACATACCCGTTGTTCGGTTTCCTTAACGAAGAGCAACCACTATTTTAAAAAACAATTAATGTAGACGTTTAACGCCAACAGATTGTTTCACGTAAGTAAGATGATCACAAAATAAAACAGCATGTACCAAATATGCAAAAACTGTAAGCATGCAAATTACTGGTTTGTACGTCATAGACGTCAATACTGAGAAAATGTGACATCAAAAAAATTAAGAATTGACGCTTACTTAAATTGTTTGACTTCATTTACTTCCAATAATGTTGGATTGTTACTCTAATTGAATTTAACTTCTTCAATTACTTCCAATAATTTGCTGGAAATCATTCACTTTTCAAAGTCAATATTAATGAAAAAACAGAAAGTTCGTACAATGAAGTTCAGAAACTGTTTGAAACTTTGTGCAGAACCAGCTTTCTTCAGTATGTTCCTAAAGAACCTCTTTTTAAGCCTCAACATTATGACTGTTTTGTTCTTCATAATGAAACAAATTACTACAGGGATTATGACGAACATGATTATGAAATGAAGATAAGAATGAATTTGTGAATATTTTACTGCCACCCAAAATTCTATCGCCAAATATAAAAAAGTTGTCAGAAATTGAATTCCGTTTTATGTATACACCATTTATTCCTTCACAAATAATTATTAATTTACTTGCCGGTTTGCCCAAAACGATTAGACGTTCAGAGTGTTTTCTGATAGATTCCGGGCATTTATGTTAATTTCTTATCTTTTGTGTGTGATATCACTTCGGACCTATAATCCCGCATGTTTTGTCCGCATGTGCGTGAATTTAATAAAAATAGTGGTGCTTCACCAAAACTCGCAAACACGAAATTTTGATGATAAAAAGTGACGAGATGATGAGGAGAGGAACGGCTGTGCATTAGTCAGTCATAAACGGATAAACAGTGTTGCTAAAAATTGTAATGTAGATAACAATTGTAATGTCACATAGTCATATTGCACAGTTATGTTTTCATGGATTGCTTGAAGCCAGCGATGCCGCAGCGTTGCCTCATTCTATCGCACAGTGTCACGATGGGTAAAAGGGAATTGTGAAGACAAGTCCCTTTCCCATTTAGTGGAACGCCAGCGGACGATACAAATCCCCTCATGCGCACATGTTCAATGCGGTTGCTTTCTGGAAAACACAGTCGTGCCTCCGGGTGAACATTCCCATCGTATTTCATTACAATATTTACAGCTTCGAATGATAGCCCTGATTCACATCAATTTGCATAATGGAGATTTGGGATACTGAATCATTTACCATAACTCGATACGAGCAAATGTTATTATGATCTCTTCGTCGAGGTGAAGAATTTTCTTTCTACGAACCAGGACAGAAGCCATCAGTCGTGCCATTGCTGGGACCGTAGACTGCAAAACACTGTGGAACAATTACGTCAACATTCATACATTGTCAAAAATGGAAGAACATGTAATGTGCGACGCAATCCAAAAGTACGAAGGATAAATTAAACAATGCGAGCGATTGTATTGAAGAACGTCTTTATTAAGAATTTCAAATACGATGTAGGTGTTAATAATTAATTGGCTTCTTCATAAGACCATGACCTTAATGTTAACAACGCACTCGCTAACAAAATCACTAAGTAAAAATTGGTATTAGCAAAGTTTCCATAGATAACTGTTGCACGTTCTGGTCAGTCAAGGCGCAACATCAATTTATTTTTAAAATGATCCTGTTCTTTCAATAAAACAGAATGAAATACATCTAGTTAAAACAAAAAAAGGTTTGTAAACTTTATTATTAACTACTTCTATTATTATATTATATTACTATTATTATTATATTACTATTATTATCATTATGTTTTTATCGGCGATCCATTTTTTTAGAAACCGTCTATCTTTGCACATTGTCTTGCTGTGAACAATTACTTATTCTATTAGCCTAGTGCCAGACGAAGTTTATTCTCTTTTGTAGCCTCACTGTGAATTTGCGCACTGGGTCATATGCGTTTGAGTTTCCACACACGTCGACAGGGAATCTGCTGAGCCAATGTGTGTCGATTAGATTAGAAAGTCTGGTAATCTGTAGAGAGGAGTATCCAGACAAACGTGTAGTCTGTATCCATAGTGGAGAGGTAATCGCATTATGCAACACGGTATTCGCATTAAGTAGATATGCAATTCATCGAGTTTTGCGAGTACTTTCGTCGAATCTGCTAGAAACAATAAACTTCAGCTTAGAGGAAAACAAAATTCGTGACAAATTATGCAAATCCATTCTCTCATAAATGAACATTTTTCATGCACGACTGCAGTAACACTTCAGTGTCTCTAATTCATATTCCCCTTGATTACGTTAATAAATTCCTTCAAATATTTGGTCTTCAGAATTGTGTTTCGAATTTAAAATGTTTTAATTTTTTTTTACTCAAAAAATTATCTTCTATCCTATATTTTGGTTTGAAAATATTTAAAATTATTAGTTCATTGAGTCTTCAGTCTTGCCATAAATAAGATCACAACAATCATAAAAACGTACTCTACCAATTGTACGTAAATTTTTAAAAAAGGAAAAAGAGTCTGGAATAATTAGGTGTTACTTTTTTATGCTTAACTTTCCTGATTCACCAGCTTTCTGATTTGTCACAATTTTTTTTGTTCATTGCTGTCCTCATTTTGTTTTTGAAGCTCGAACTTATACCGAACAGATTTGCTGTGTTTTCGTAAAATTTATTTCGAAAAAATGAAACCGAAAAATTTAATTAATTTGATTTTCATTCAAAACATGGCTAGAATTCATAAAAAACACCGAAAGGTTATGAAAAAGAAACTCTATACGGACTTGTTGAGACGTAAGGGTCATCGCGACAATATCGATTCCATTCCTTGTTGCTGAAGATCCCTTCCCGCCTTTTAACGAAGACGCGAGTGACGATCCGCACGCAAATAAATGGAGCGACTCTGGGGACGTAAGCAAAAGGTATAGTGTACTGCCGAATCTATGAAGGAAGATCTATGAACATACAGCTTTGTTCGACTTAAATGAGTAAACACAGTGTCATGGGTCCGTCGTTATGAGGATGATTATAACACCAGTAAAGTTTGATACTGCTTTTAAGGAGTACGTTTATCTCTTATAATTGATATAGAGTAGATTTTAATAATTTATGGAAATATATTTTTAATTGTTTAATATTATTGCTGTATTTATGGAATAAGTAAAGTAATTTTTGAAAACTAAATCCACGTTGTAGTTACTCCAAGAAAAATGTCTGGACATTTGATTCATTAGTTCATGTTTCCGATGTTCCCCTGCTCTGGTCCCATGCAGATATCCTATGCGGATGCGGATCTGTACCTTTTTTTCATCCTGAAAAGTATCTATGTACTGTTCTATCTAAAATATTCCATTGAAATAGCATAAAAAGTAGGAAACAATTCCAATTTCAATTCGATATAGTATTAGGTGCTGTGTATATTTTTCATATCTTTTTTTACACGAAGTTATGATGATTAAGAAATTCCACTTGCACACACACAAATGTTGTACCGCAGTCAACATGCAATGAATAGAAATAGGAAGAAAATTGGATCAGTGCGGAGCGGGGCGGGAAACGGGCGCGGAGCGGGGCGCGGAGCGGGGCGCGGAGCGGGGCGCGGAGCGGGGCGCGGAGCGGGGCGCGGGCGAGGCGGGCGCGGCTGGGAGAGGGCGGTGCACGGTGTGGGCAAGGGGGTTTTAGCGGGATGGGCGGGGAGCGGCAGTGGGGTGCTCAAGGAGTCGATCATTCCGGCGGAGGCCTGCTCCCCGCGGAATTTCCGCCGCGAAGGAGCGTGGCGCTTCGCACCGGTGGCGTGCGGACCAGATTTTCCCCGGTTCGATTGGAAGGGCTGTCCGAAATGTACGTCTTTTCCAATTTACTATTATGTATGTTGGCCTATATGCTTATTGAACTCCAAGGTTCTCGAAGGAACAAATTCTAAGATTTATGTGTTCTTCCCGCAGGCTGACGACAGATACCCCCATCTTACAGATACTTCCATAAGAGTACCTAACAGATTGTAGATGTTGCCAGTAAGTGCTTATAAATTATGTGTTCTTGCTATATTTTACAAGCAAAACCCGCCGACCTCTGTTGTTGTGGACTGGGTTTATCATAATAAAGGGAGACATCGCACCTACCTACTTCTAGAAAATGATGGTCCGAAATGAGCGCGACCTGGAGATCTGGACTACAGTTATCGGCGGGGAGAGACGCTCGTAAGTAATAGTAGACGCTAGATGCAACATTTTGTCTCAAACGCCATCCTCCTACGTCACCCGGACAGGTTACCAGTAACAACACATTCTGTACATGTAATGACACAATACCGAGATG